AATAACTATACGTATAAATAAAAAATTGAATATTATAACGTGTAGCTTTATAAGCTTTTTTATTTATTTAAATATAACGTGCTCTGTTAATTAACGTAAGCTTCTTATAGTTATAAGAAGCATTTACTTTAATACTTTTTAAGGTAATATTCTTCTATAAATATAAAGGCTAGGTTTGTTAAACTATCGTAACGTTATTTAAAACGATTATTAACTAATTTCAATGTTTTAAACCTAGTATTTAAAACGAAAAAAATTAGGTTTAATTTAAGTTAGTCAAGAATGGAATTTTATTAAGTTTTTAAATAATCTATAATAAAAATAACGCTTTATAACGTAAAGTTGTAAACTTAATTATTATGACAATTTATTCTAGTATTAAGTTAACTTTAAAAACTTACTTAATAACCGCGCGGGTTAAAAAAAACTTTTAACTATTCAATAAGAAAACTAGGTTAGACTTAAAGGCTATATTAATAGTTTCCAACTTATTATTTTAAGCTTAAAAGTATAAGATTTATATTATCTAATTTTATTCTTATTGTTGAACCTTTAATTTTATTACATTAAAACAATTGTTGGAACGGGCTTAAAGGATCAATCATAATACTCGAGTATTGAGTCAAGGTCATGATGTTGCTAATGGTTGGATTGAGAAGTCTGGCTGGACCTGCAGGTCTGGCTAAGTGACCTCACAATCCGGTATCTAATCTCTTATCTAATCATACATTTGGGTTCTGTATGGATGGTTTGACTGTGGAATCATATGGATCCAACATCCCACCTATTTTAAAAATAAGTAGGTTTATAAATAAAAAGTCTTTGAGGTTATAAGAAGGTGAAAAACGCTTGGATACCTTTACGTTTTTAAGTTAAATACAATTCGTAAGACTAAAAGAGATAAAGTAATAAGCGGTGATAATTTAATAAAATTATAGACAAATAAATAAAAGTCGGCTTAAATGCTAGCTAAGGTAGTAGTACGCGCGCCCGCTCTACCGTATTAAACCTATAAGTTTTAGAAAATATTAAATTAAGAATACTTAAATAGCTCTTATTTTATACTTAAATATCGGCACTTAAAGTAAACAGTGAATAGAATATGACCGAAACGAAATATAAACGTGAAGATATAAGGTATGTGTTGGAACAGGCTTGAACGATCAATCATAATACTCGAGTATGGGGTCAAGGTCATGATGTTGCTGATGGTTGGATTGAGAGGAATCTAGCTGGACTCGAAGGTCTGGCCAAGTGCCCTCTCAATCCACTATTTTATCTTATCTAATCATACATATGGGTCCTGGTATAGATGGTTTGCAGTCTGGAATCGCATGGATCCAACAGTATGCCTGTTTTTCCCTCGGTATAACCGCCCGTATATAGCTGGCTCGAAGTTCGTATTATATACTTTACTTAAAGCAACCGGTTTTATCTTAATACTATTATAAATAAACGGTTATAATTTTAATAAACATATTTTATTACCGCCGGATAAATAATTAAGTCGGTAACGACCAGTAAGTCCTCGGTGTTATATATATTAAACATTTTTAATATCGTGGTTTTTTTTTTGGTTTTTTTTTTTGTAGTTCCGGTGTATACTCCTTTTCTATAGACCACTAAATCATGTTAACGTATTTGAAAAGGCCACCAAATAGGGACGCGCGCGGCGCCGTGGGCTTGGGTAGACGGTAGTAGGCGGATGCATCTGTTCCCCTTTGCCCTCTTCATCTTCGCTTCCGTTCTGTGAGTGAGTCGCTGCCGCCGTCTACCTGGGAGTATTTCGGAGGACTGGCATCCTCTGCAAAGGCCTTTATCATCTAAGAATCACGTGGACTGACGAGTGTAACGACAGACGCCTGTGACACCAGTCAACCTGTGGCCATGTACGTCTGTACACCATCACATACCGTTTGACACATGTCGTATTAAGGGGCTTCTTGGAACAATAGATGCTGTACTACGAACGGCGATCAGGGCCATCTTGCCGGTCTGGAAAACACACCCTGGACATATCCTACACTTTAAATCACAGATTCCTCCAGCAAGAGTTCTTGCAGAGTCAATAAGACGACGTCACGACCTCTGACTAGGACGAATAGACCAGAGACACCCTCTTGTTAGCAGGTTTCAAATACAAGCTCGCAAAGAACCAACAAGGCTACAAAGGAGCTTCCAGCTAGTCCCTGACTTCCAGAGACCAATACTTACCAGGCCATCATGGAAGAAGCGCCCAATCCGCAAAAACAAAGACAAAGAAACAGAGCTCTTCAAGCAATGGTTACAAGAGAGAAACGTGAACACTGACCTTGTCATCTACTCAGATGGATCACAGTTGGATGACCAAGGCACAATCCGCACTGGATGGGGTTATACCATCAGGAAAGGCGGCACTACACAAGAAGTATACCGGGAAAGGGGCAGACTTCTACAAGCAGAAGTAATAGATGCTGAAGTCTATGGTGCTCTCCAAGGTCTTGTAACAGCCAGGGCAATTGGACACGGAAAACAGCTATATGTCTGCCTGGACAACACGTCAGTGGTAGATAGGCTCAATGGGACTCCACCCAAGACATCACAAAACATTTTTCTACGATTCTAAGAACTTGCCACGGCACACACTCCTGGAGTGACCATCAAGTGGATTCCTGGACACAGAGATATTGATGGTAATAAAGCTGCTGACACACTAGCAAAAAAGGGTGCCATGCTAGAAACAGACGTAATTAACCTTCCTACAATCTCTTGAATTAAGAGAGATCTTAAAAAGAAAGGCAAGAAAGAATTCGATCAATGGAGGAAAGACCAATCAGAACCTAGGTATCAAGAAGTATACTCATATATAGTAACTAAAAGAGGCCTTATATCTTTAAAAGGAGCACTTTACACAGACTTCTAGCGGCCAGATCTGGACATGGCGACTTTGCTAGATATCACGAATGTTTTGGGCATACAGACTCAAATAATCATTGTAACTATGGTAAAAAAAAAACACCACAACACATTTTCTTTTGTAAAAGGCTTGGGAAAAACTGACTGCTGCCCAGGTACTCGCCTAGGGCAGCCTGTTTACAATACTTGGGGGAGAGGAGCGCGGAATGGGCAAGATTTATTGAGAAGAGCAATTCTTTTTATCAATCTGTCCCCGATAGATAGCTGTTCTTAAAGGACCAGATGGATGACCCCAAAGTCATACAGCCGCAACAACAGGGATGGGCCCGTGAGCGGGACTGACTGTACTTATTATCTTAATACCTCCACAACCCTGCGATGCAGAGGCTCTGGGAGGCGTGGTTTGCACTACTGAGGAGCGATCCCCCACATTAAATACAATCAATCAATCAATACCGTTTGACAGTGAGCCTTTGACATGACCTTTCCCAGAAGCCATATGTGGCCGAGGTGCGTAGACCGAGGGTTTGGTCCGAGCCGATGACAATGGAGTCTCAGTCAAAAGCCTGAGGCCCATGGAGCGGCATCGTCCAGGCCAAGCCTTGGAACTGGATGATTCGTATCGTCACCGTGGTCAGCACAGCCTGGCCAGGCACCTGTTTGGAGAGGCTTAAGAGTATTCTGATCAGATACTATATGTTGAGTCGCTTCGTGGTGGCGAATGAGGCAGCAGAGTCTACACCCTGTTTAGAACCGTTGAAAACCCATCGTCTGCCTGCGAGTTGAGATTCTGCAATTATAACACTCAAAGCACTGCTTATACTCTCCCTGAGTCTCATTCGTTCCTTGGCTCTTGCCCCAACTCTTAAAGAGGCGTCATTTCCACCCTCCTTGAAATACCGACAGACAAAGCCACCAGTATCCACGAGTACCCCAGCCGCGAAGGGGCCAACCCGACTACCTATCAAACGACTCATACGTACACGTCGTAAGAAAGATCGAGACACCGATGAGACCGAAGAGCAGCAGGTCCCAAAAGGCAGATCTCCCTCTTTGCTGCCCCACCGCCTCAATGGCCCGTATCCTGGCCTCGAGTGCTTCCAGCCTTTGCGCAGTGTCGATATCCTGCATGGCATCCTTCGATCGCATCTTGAGCTCTTCCACTTGTCGATTTATAGCCTTCAGTCGCTCGTCCAGTTGGTCCCGAACCTCCCACAACTGCCTTTGATAAGCGACCACCGACATGTCGTACGGCTTGATAGCTGATGCGATGCGCTTGATAGCTGTATGATGTGTCGTGTGTCGTGTGTCGTGTGTCGTGTGTCACTTTTTCGGTTTGCGCTTCTTCTTCGTATGGCTGAGCTGGCGCTGGACGTGTGCAGGTTGGCTGGTGTCGGATGGATTGGGGTGCGTCCGGTTGACGGCGTGAGTTGGTGGCGTGAGCTGGTGCTGCTGGCCTTCTGCTTATCCGGCGGGGATATGGGGGTTTATATCCACATATATCGCTTTGATCGCGGTTTCATCTCACTCAGGGGACTCTCGTCCCTATTCTATCACCTTCTAGATATCTCAGACAGTGTCTCACGGCCCACTTTTAGTGTAGTGAGGCCCTTTGAGCGCCAGCCCGTGGATCGTCTCAGCTGTGACCGCAAGTATGTCTCAATTAGCCGTGGAATAGGGCCCCTGCGTGGTGCTACTCGAAGTATGAGGCTGTTATGAAGCTAACAAGGCAGAAGAGTGCTGTCACTTAAGCGGAGAGGGCCTCCGGCCTCGATAGAATGGTCCGGGAATATCCTTAATAGTATGTTACACTGACTGCTTATAAGGCTCGGTAATATCCTGCTACCAACAGGACCATACCAAAGTGACCAAACAGGGCTCCATGAAGCGGACCCGATCCGCGCTATCGAATAGAAGAGAAAGCGGGACGTCGCCGTTCTTGTTTCGGATATTGGGCAGCCCAACTTGGGCTGTATGCCGGCATTCGAATATAGGTGACTTCTTGAAGTGCATTGTTATGTCATGCCTTTCCTGACAGAAAACTTTGGTACGCTATGAAAGTTGGTGGCTGTTAGGAGGTCGTATTAGGGTTTGAGGTCCAGTTTTCAAACCCCGTGCCCGTAAGGGTCTGCCAAAGCTGGCATGTGTTCCACATCGACCGTCCTGAGCACCCTCAAGCCGTCAATCTCCTCAACATCTGACTTCTGGTCGTGCTTTGGCCCTTCAACATTGGTTGTGGCCCCGCTGTTGAGAAGCCAAGTGTCGCTCATCTCAATGTAGCCGGTCATATTCCTCAGTCCTCGCTTCTGTCCCGGCGGGTGTTCACGCTCTGTCCGCGGACGGTTGGGGCCTGTGGCGACTAGGTTGGACCGACTGTTGCCGCTCCGGCTGCCTCTAAGCGTCGAGCGAAGGTTCTTGAACACACGCGACTCCATGACGTGAAGGCGCATGAAGCCCGCAAAGGCCGTGGTTGAACATACGATCAGTGCCACATCCATTTCTACGAGGCTGTTCACTGCTTTAGCCACTCGCATTTTAACAAGGAGAGAGGTGAGCCGTGCAGTACATACTTGCAGATCATTAGCACCCTAGTGTTGTAGGTGGTGTCAGGGGTCCCTTGTATCGACTTCACTCTGTAGACGAGAGAGAGCAGACTAGCGATCACCCCACTTCAGAATGATATTAGCTTGGTCCATAATGATTGGAGTTTGATGGGAAATCATCACTTACAGGAAGCCTATGAAGAACAACGCCATGAGCTGTATCTTCCTCTTTCTCGATAGGTTGAGCCTGAATATATAGGCAAGGGCAGGATGAAGATGTATATGTCGGTCACGGTTCCCACTGCGCCTGAGGCAACTGCCCAGTACAGAAAAAACACGATTGTTCCGACCTCCTCAACCAAGAGCTCGTCCCAGGTTTGGCTGATGTGAGGCGCTGCGAAATAAGACGAGAGGCATATGCTCAACGCATATAACAAGAAGACAGCAGCAATACCGACCCATATCGCTATGCGCATTGGACACGAGATAGTGAAAAGCTGGTAGAAGAGCATAAGGGTGGCTGTTTTGGCGAAAGAACAGGCTGAAATCAAAGAGGACCTGCCAGAGATATCCCACCTGCAGTTGGCACCTATGTTAGCGAGTGCCTTGAGCGGTCGACGGCCTGTTGCTCTCTTACCAGCTCGGATTGTCCAGAGGACCAGCAAAGAGGAAAGTTCCATATGTGTCTGAAGTAGTGGGAGAATAATGACAAGAAGGTTAAATCGTTGAGAACAGGAGCTGGGTTTCGGGGGCAAAGCTTACAAGCAATGATCGTGCCGGCTTGGGCGATATTGACTAGAATGGCCAACAGCACGAATACTGGCGCCGTGGGTTAACGTTGTGCCACACAACGGTGATACTATGACTTACAGTCACTCAGCGTTAGCTTCCGGAAATTGGCATAAAGCCTCCCAAGGCCGACGAGTACAGCGATCGTGGTTAGAATGACGCTTATGGAGATGGCCAGTGATTTGAGACCCGGGTCCTTGAAGTCAATGGTCTCTCCGCTGGGGGGTTTGCCAGCTGGTAGTTGACATAGGTCAGTCCCTGGGGGGAACATGTCGGCGAGGGAGCTCATGTTGAGTGCGGCTTGAACTCGGAACGGATGCAATAGGTATGTGACTCAGGGGGGCAATCACGATTCGCAGAGAGCGCAAGGAGTGCACCTGGATCTGGTGAAGTTGTTATATGGCAGAGAAGACAGCACAAGATAGGTGATAGCAGTAAGAAGTCATACAGTCAGCTTTGGGGTTCGGCAGTGTAAAGCTTTGCACGTAGCCTACCGTAGATAGTATTCGTCATCTATAGCGTCTGCTGCTGCATAATATTGAAGCCCAGCCCCACTAAATTTAGAGACAGGTTGGGTCCCCTTTCTATCCGTGTACTCCCCCTCTTTCACAACGGCTCCCCCATGGTACATCACCACACGATCGCCAGTAAACTGTGCTGAGATGTCTGCCGAATCCGCAGCCCGCTGTTAAAATAGTGTTGCACCCCGATCGATCTTCACCGGTCCAGGCCTCGCCAGAAGGCCGGCTAGCAGCATAGGTGACCACTTCATAGCTACCTATGTAACATGGGTCGGGCTATTGCGACCATACCTACAGAAAGCTGCGGAGACTTCATTGGTCGCCCGGACTGCGAACATGTCGACGAAAGGAGACCTGGGCAATGACTACGGGTTCGATTGAATCTATTCATAGTACAGGCGTTGCTACATCTCGAGCTCAGTAGTGTAGGCGCTTGATAGAGGCGCTTTAGCCTTGGGGATCATGATCCCCCTCACCCTCTTCTCCTGATACGCTTTCTGGGAGTATGACATATCCGCCAGTCTCTGACATACATGTAAACAGATTGCAATGCAAAACGGTGTATTCTTGTGAACAGTGCGCTAGCTCGCGAAAGAAAAGAATCAGTCCTGTTCACCTGATGTCTAATACCCTATGAGAATGAAAACCAAAGGGATATATTTCCTAGATCACAGTGCTTGCCGTCAGCCCAATTCTGTCCCTTCCTACACGTCTCACATTCAGCTTTTCTGGTTGCACAAGTCTTCTGCGACGATATCAACGCCCTTGTCACTGTCTGAGAAGATGACATGCCACTTTCGATCATCCTTGGGTGTCATTTCAATCTCAACATCTTCTTTCGGTAGCGGACAGGCCCTGTCCATGACATATTCTTCCCAGGCTCGATCCACCTCCCCCCAACTGGCCGCACATCGAACCGCACCAGCAACAGAGCCTGGAGCGCCAGTATATCAGTGCTGGCGAAATGCCGGCCTGGGCACAGGACATGGCCGCCGCCGAATCCCCGGAAAGCGGCGGCGGGATGCCGTGTTGTTCCATCTTTCTTGGTCTTGATGAACCGTTTGTGGTTGAACTCCCCCGTGGTAGGGCCCCACGAGGATTGGTCAGAGTGTATGACTGCGTTTGGCATCAAGACAGCACCACCCTTCTTGAGGAGATATTGGTCATCCACCAAAGTATCCTCTTGGATGATACGTGCGGCAAGCTCTTGAGAAGGGAAGTTAGCTTACGAAGGAGGAAGCCGTGCTTCATCTTCCAGATGGGCAGATCGCAATTTTACGTGATGAAACTATCACCTGTCGTGTAACATGACGGAAACCAACAAACGCTCAGCCCCCCGAATTGACCTTAGTACATTCGACCCAGCTCGCCGGCTCAGGGAGCACGAATAATGCAACAGGGGTATGTATCTAAAAAAGGTTGGAGCCCCTTTACAACCCTCCATCCCAGATTGGCTGACTAGTAACAAGCGTCGCAGAAAGCAAGATGTCGGTTTCGTTGGGGGCGCGATGAGATCAGGTACATGTATGCTCGTGATCAGCCAGGTGCAACCTGGACCTTGATACCATGACCAAATGAGCCTCCCGACAGGCCGAGGTCGACGGCCTCACGTGAGAGTCATTAGAACGGAAGCAGACAGTATGCATTAAGTTGAGGGTCTTTCCATTGCTGTCGTCATCTCGACTTGAGTAAGACCTGGATCGCAGTACGCAAACTCCCTCCAGCCATCTATGCATGCATACAAAGTAATGAGGCATATCACATATCCCATTCATAGCCCGTCCGGCTCGCCATCGACTTCGCCCCATGTAAGTGCCATTCCCATTGCGCCTTGAAATCGTGAGACAGGAGGATCGACGACCAGGGGCGCGCTATCGTGTGCACCCTCGTCGAATCAACCACCCCGCAGTCCTTGCCTCTTGAATCGTTGATCGATTGGGTTGTCTACCATCGGTATAAAAGAGGTGAGGGAAGGGAAAGAAGTACAGAGTATGGCGTATAATCCTCCTCTATCATCTCACACCAGTTCCGTCGTGTCATCGGGATTATTCCTCACAAGGTCTGGTTTCCTCCGGTATGCTGGTGTTCACAGTTGCTGTTCTCCTCGACCTACTTCTGGAAGAACCAGCTGCTTCTCTTACCGGCATTGCCTTCGTTCTGCAGATTGCCGATGGTAGGAACTGGAGCTGCAGCATCCCCTCCGCCGCGGAGTGGCTTTGCGATACGGCTCCCAGCACTAGCGAAGCTGAAACCGCCAGCTCCCTGCGGTGAGTTCAGCCCGCGGGTGGAACCAGCCTTGGCTGCCTCGAGACGCTCTTTGACAGCGGTGAGCTGAGTCTCAAACCTGTCATACATGTTAGTCGATGGTCAGATACCATAGCAGTAGAGCCATACCTGTGGTTCGCGGCAGTGAGCTTCTCCTGACTATCCTGCAACAAGCTCTCCAAGCTGGAGATACGCTCATTCCGAGCAATGAGCTTCCTCTCGGCTATGGCGACCTCCTTCTTCAGCCCGCTGTTCTGTTCAACAAGCTGTCGTTGAACCTGGGTCAGCTGCTCCAAATTGCGCTCAAGGAAGGCCATCTTCTTCTGCTGTGCACGGTTGTTGGACGACCGCAATACGTTATTGTACTGCTCCCGAGTCTCGTCAAGCGAGATCTCGAGTTCAACAACACGCTCGCATCTGTTTTGCAGATCGCGCATCAAACTCTTCTTCATGACATCGAATTCAGCGATTTGCTGCTGGATGGTCTTGCCGTTGGCGAGACCGGGAGCGGCCACGGCCCCGGACTTGATGCGAGATTGAAGGTCCTCAATGAGTGTCTTCATGCGGGCATTCTCAGATGACTTCTGTGTGATGTCGGCCTTGAGCTCGTCCACCAACTCCATTGAAGTTGTCTGCTTGTTGGCATACGCCTTCTGTAGCCGTTCCTTGACTTCCTCAACATCCGCATCTCCAAGGTTCCGGGAGAGGACATCTTCGTATTCTTGCTGTAAAGTCTCGAGTCGGCTCTCCAACTCCATCCTCCGCCTTGCTTCGGAGTCACCGGACGCGCCACTGTAAAGTGAAAGCTCGGCTTGCCTGACGATCCCTTGCGTCTCCACCAGCTTGGCTTTGAGTTCCTGTAGATCATCTGGCGGGATGGGGTCTCCCGCATAGCTCTGCTCGTACAAGGCGTCGACTTGTTGGATTGCGTCGGATATCGACTGTTCGTTGGCACTGAACACCTCACTACCCAAGTCGAACCCAGCCATCATCTTGGCCATCTTTTCTGCCTTCTTCTTCTCCTTCTCGTCCAGAACTGCGCTTGTCTCCTTCGCACTCATCTTCACATCCAAAAGTTGCTGCTTGACCTCGTCCAGTTCCGTCGTGAGTTCAGAGTTGGCCTCTTTCAGAGCGTCCATTGTGATCTGAGCCTCCTTGCCCTCGAACGCCAGGCGCTCAAGCTGCATCTTGACTTCGTTGACCTCGGTTGTCAACTTCTCGTTCTCCTTTCCAACCTTGCTGTCATGCTCTTTTAGGAATGTCATCTCTTCTTTGGATTCCTGAAGAGTCTTTTCCGCGGTGGCCACAGCGGACTCCTTCTCCGCCAACTGATCCTGCAGTTCGTTCTCCCTCCGTAAGAACTCCTCTCTCTCGTCCTTATCCATGGGAAGACCGGGGGTGCCAGAACGCTCAGTCAACGCAGGGGTTTCTGATCGACTGTCGGGAAGAAGTCGTGATGGGGTCGACGGCCGCGGAGCTTTCGCCATACTAACAAGGCCATTAGCTGACAACGGCTGCACCCATCGGTCTTTGGGAACCGCTTCTCCTGCACGCCACAACTGGACCTCGCCCTCCAAAGTTGCGATATAGCTCTCAAAGTTTATAATGTTGGACTTGGCCTTGGCAAGCATCTGTTTGAGCTCTGCCGGGCTGAGTTCCGCGTTGACCTTGGCCTTGTTCTTGATAGACTTCGCCCTCATACCGAAGCGTAGCGTACTAAGTGTTTCGGCATCGTTGTAGCTACTGGGCGAACAGTTGACGATTAGTGTCGTCCTACTGTTTCCTCCCAGAGACTCTTGTAATATCCTCGTTAATTTGGAATCTCGGTAGGGAATGTGTGAGGATTTGCCGTCGGTGAGCGAGTTGATGACCATGCCCAGCGCACTCAAACTTTTGTTGATCTTCTTCGCTTCCTCGAGGGTCTGCCCACTCGCGCCGGTCTTGCCGACCTTTTCGCTACCTGCCAAATCTACCAAGAAGAGCTGACCACTTTTCATCGAGCCGGTCTCCAGGTTTTTCTGAGTGATGGTGATGACGAAGATGGAGTGGGATCGCGAGGATTCTTGGTTCATGTTTGTGGCGGCGACAGCTCGCGCGCTGCCTCCCCTTTTCATGACCTCGAACACCTCTTCGACGCTGGAAACGTATATTTCGAGGAGACCCTTGACGTAGACACCTCGGTTCTTTTCTTCGTGGACCGGGAGGTTGTCGTTCTGCGGCGCCAACAGATCGCGAATGCGCTCCATATAGATTTCCATATAACTGACTCGGACGGTATACTCGATGGTTAGGGGGCTAGACATGATGCTGCTAAAGATCTGCTCGACGATACGGGGGGTAATACCCTTGCCCTCCTCGTCCTCTATGCTCGTTCCCATCATGGTATACGACTTTCCCGCACCCGTCTGACCGTATGCGAAGACGGTTCCATTGTATCCGTTGAGAATGTCGTCTACTGTAGGCTTGATGGAATAGTCGAAGATTTCTTGTTGCCTCCCTGTCATACCAAACACGCGATCGAAGGTGAAGGAACCAGCGGCTTCGGCCGACTGTACTCAGGGCAAAGGGTTAGCATTGGGCGATTTGGTGGATAGAGGCGGGTAGAGGAGACGTACGGTGATAGAACAGGTGTCGGCGCCACTGAAGCTGACAATGGGCTCGCCGCCCGATGCAAGCTCGATCTTGTTCTGGGGCCGGAATCGGGCGACGACCTTGATGCTGTTCGCGCTCGACATGATGACGGCGGCGTTTGCTCGACGGCTATGCGCAGCGGGACATGTAACAAGGGGGAAGGGTTTATCTCATGTTCCTCAGGGAGGTGTGTCGGGCAAGAGACGCAGCCCGGCCGACGGAACGGCGAACAGCGAATAGGCAAAAAATGCTGAATGAGTGCAAGCAGGGCAACGAAGCACGCTGTCCACGCCGTTGCTGTGTTTTGGGATGGTAGGGGCTGTGGTGGGAGGATGCAGGTCAATAGGTAGGTCGCAGGATCGCGTCAAAGTTGGAGTCGCCGGGCGGCGTGCTGCGTGGTAACTTGGAGAACAGGGCTGCCCGCTGCAGGTGGCGGTTGACCGTCTCGGCGGGTCTCGGTGCTGCCTTGAACTTCTAAGTTCTAGGTACAGGGAGTCAGGGGCAATACCCCACCATCGTTGACATCCCTTACTAATACTGAAGAACAGACGACAGACACAATGCTCTATTCAGCATGTGGATTTTATAGTTGTATTGTTGTGCGGCATTAATCGTACATCTGTATTACACGACATTAATACAGTAGCACTTGGGAAACCACATTGTGGAAGATCCACACTGAGGCAATCTTCAATACATGACGCAAAGTCAAGGTGTGGCCCAACTATTGGCGATTCTCCCTCCGTTCGTAAGATTTGCAGATTCATGCGAGCCAGAATTCATCTCTCGAAGATTAACTCGAATTGACTCACTTAGACGCTAATGTTACTGAGCCCTCATGATGTGTTAAAACGCCAGCTGATGCAAGAGACCTACGGCAAGTAAAACTTGATGGTCTGTGAAGGCGTCGCAGGAACAACATAAGGCTGCGGCTTGAACTCCCCGGAAAGCAACCGTCAACATGTCTGAGAGGACTCTCTCGGAAAGACGCATATGCATAGTCAAAGGTGTGCATATACAGCCATTCCTGTTTTAGACCAGCCGAAACACCAACTCCATTATTAATTCCCTTGACACCCTGCCACAGCCATGGCATGGCCTTCATCACACCGGCTAGCTCAGTCAGGCAGTTGAATGAGCTTGCAAATGTTTACGGTAGGCCTGGTTGTTAGTGTTCTGGCACCTGTCGTATTTGCATCTTCCACTTGGGCAAGGACCTTGACGGCGGTCGGCCACTGTCGACGGTAGAAAGCTTGACGGGAGGTAGAGAAGTGTCGACGGCAGAGATGCGTCAACGGTAAAGAATTGTCTGCATGGTGGGCAGCAGTCTGACCCTGAAGATCAACTACGTGCTGGCGTAAAACTCGTTGCTTCGTCACCGAGCTGCTCTCCTCTCGTGTCTCCTGGGTTGGTTCGGACCCATCAGTCCAATCCATATATCGGTCGAAGCAGTCTCGGGCCGCCAGGGAATGAGGTGACCCCTTGGGAGGCTAATCATCCCAGCTTTTCTCTACCGTCTCGCGAACTCTCTTGGTATACTCTTTTCGGTTGTCCTTATACAGATTGGAGGCCTCCACGTTCGCCGGCGAGCCTGTGTTGGGATCGTTCAATAGACTGGACAGCGGATTCTATTAGTGTCCTGCTCTGAACATGTATCCTGAAGCCGAGCTACTTACCTTTGTATACTCGTCAAGACCGCGGCAACGTCGTATGTCGGACTCCATCGATTCTGCAGAATGTCTAGACACAGCTCGCCCGTTGCGTATACGTTGGGATGAAACATCTGGCTGATGAACTTGACGGCAGGCGGCTTGTTCGGGTATTGTTCTTCGAAATGCATGACGAGTCGGAAGGTGCCATCTTCGAAGGGCGTGTCGGCCGGACCGATGATGACGGCGTTCCTTTGCATGGATTAGTTCGCGAGGCTCTGCAGTAGAGAAGACTGAGACTGCGCTCCAATGAAGTCTCTCACCAGGTCATGACATTATCGGGAACAGGCGACGCAGATACTCCAGCGGGCGGGTCTGTCTGCATTCGCTGCAGTCACGGTTAGCCTGGCTTTCCAACGCGATTAGGGTGCAGAATGTTCCTCTTACCTTAAAGTCCCGCATCAAACGACGTCGGGCGGCAGTCGACATCTCGGCTTCCGGGCAAAGAACCACTTGGAGACGGCGGTTATGAAGCAGGGAGTAAGTAGTAAAAGGAGAAGAATCTTTCAGGAGGCGTCTGGGAAGTGAGGGTATCCTGCACTGGCCTGACTGGTTGGCTGGCCGACTTAGGTAGATGGGTGATGCGAAGCCGGAAGAGTGAAGTCTTGACCCAGCAGAAGGCGGCGTGAGTCGGGTGGCGACCCGTTTCCAAACGCAGCTTAGGTGATGGCGATAAGATAACGAATGCCCCGCTCCAAATAACCAAAGACGTTCGTCTAAACCAGTTATTATTCAGCATCCCCTATTGAAGCAGCCACCGTCATATCTTTTGACTGTACTGAGAGCCTGACGGAAGTAAAAATACCAACAGGCCTGCTGTTACAGGACAGTTCATTCTGATATGATTCTGATATGTCTGGTTAGCAGGTTTAGTATATCTCTGCATGCAGTTGCCGACCTTGGGTATTCATGATGTACTCGTCTCTTTCTCAAGACTCCAACGTCGCTGGGGCGGAGGACCGGCATTTGTTGTAGCCCCTGCTGCATCTTCCCCGGGGGGCGGACGAGTGGAGGGCCGAGGTGGAGGCATGCTTCCGCCAGAAGCCGAGAAATGGTAAGTGGGTAGCGCCGGGAGCTCGACCTCTCTCGCCTCATCCTTCTTCCACAACCTTGAACCTTTGCTATTCCTTCATACTTCTCTTCTTTCTTGCATTGTCAGGTATTGCTGACGCCTATTTGTCGGGTTTCCTTTTGCCTCTCAACTCATAGACATTGTCAACATGGTCTTGCGTCTGGCAAGACCTGGCGTGAGAGGCGCTGTGCAAGCAAGCAGCCGACGCTCTCTGACGCGCCACTTCTCAGTGCAGGTTGCCCTTCGACAGGAAATCCGCGATGCCTATATCATCAGTGCTTCCAGAACACCAACGGCCAAGGTCAGTCACGGCGGCGATCCAGCTTGAAACGTGTGAGCTTACATAACTTGTAGTTCAACGGGTCTTTCCTCACAGTATCCGCGCCGAAGCTCGGTGCAGCTGCTATAAAATCAGCTCTTGAGAAGTCAAAGGTTCCGGTAGAGAAGATCACGGATGTTTACATGGGAAATGTCCTCCAAGGGTCGGTCGGCCAAGCACCTGCTAGACAGGCTGCCATATTCGCTGGTCTTCCCACCACAACCGAGGCTGTTACGATCAATAAGGTCTGTGCGTCGGGCATGAAAGCGGTTGCTTTCGCAGCACAGAACATCCAGCTCGGCCTCTCTGAAGCACAAATAGCTGGAGGAATGGAGAACATGTCGCAAGTTCCCTACTATGTGCCCCGTGCAAGCAGTCTGCCGCCATTTGGACATATCAAGATGGAGGATGGTCTGATCAAGGATGGGTTGACTAATGTCTACGACCAATTCCACATGGGAATATGCGCCGAGACCACGGCCAAGAAGTATGAGATATCTCGCGAGATGCAGGACGAATATGCGATCCGGTCGTACGAGCGGGCGCAAGCTGCATGGAAGGCAAATGCGTTTGCGGACGAGATCGCGCCCGTCACTGTCAAGGGCAGAAAAGGAGACACCATCATCGACACGGACGAGGGTTACCTGGATATCAAATTGGACCGGGTTTCCACCTTGAAGCCGGCGTTCATCCGGGATGGAACTGGTACGGTCACTGCGGCCAATTCTTCCACTCTCAACGACGGTGCTAGCGCATTGGTCCTGGGTAGCAAGGCCATCGCCCAGGAATTCGGGGCTAGTTCGAGAGTGCTGGCCAGAATTTGCGGCTCTGCAGATGCTGCCATCGACCCCGTTGACTTCCCCGTGGCTCCGGCCAAAGCGGTGCCACTCGCCTTAGAGCGTGCTGGCATCACCAAGGACCAGGTAGCCGTCTGGGAGTTCAACGAGGCCTTTGCTGCTGTCATCAAGGCCAATGAGAAGGTAAGACTGATCCGAGATGATGCTCACAGGTGGAAGCTGACACGGTTCGCAGATCTTGGGCTTGGAGAATGCAAAGGTCAACCCATTGGGTGGAGCAATCTCCTTGGGTCATGCTCTGGGAAGTTCGGGATCCCGGATACTAACCACCTTGCTACACCAACTCAAGCCTGGAGAGTATGGTGTTGCGGCGATCTGCAACGGCGGCGGTGCTGCGAGTGCAATGGTTGTGCAGCGTCTTGACAAAGTGTAGGAGAGAATGTAGATACCCAATCCAACCAGCAACGTCCAAAGAACATAAAAAACTTATGCTGCATGAAATCCCTGTCTATATTCAACGACATGGAAAGCAGTGGCAGTATCATCCATCCAAGTAGATAGGAGACAGCATTGGCATTATCGTCCACTGCATGTGTTTCTTGGGGTGTCCATGCCGTCCACTTGCATGTGACAGCGCCTGGAGGCCGCTATCGACACAGAGGGTTAGCGCAGATGATGTCACCCGACTTAGTGGGCGCTAACAGCTGGAGCAGAGCTGCGATTCGGCCTTGCAGGGAGGTGGACCCCTGGAGCTTCAATCGGACTTCCAAGCATATGCGGCTATACGAATGGAGCTTCTCGACTTCTTTCGACATTGATCCCATCTTTACCTCACCCGAGCTTCACGACCAGCCTTGCGCCACTACACCAGCCAAAGTCTCTGTCGCTTTGAAAGCGCAAGTCTTTCCCAATTGACTTCAATTCTCGGTCGTCACCTTATTGATCCGTTGTCCGCACCCACAAACCCACGCATACACCGCAATGCGCCAATCCTGACAAGAAACTGCGGCCTCCTCTGACCGCGACCTCGACCTCGATACCTCCAATAATGGCATTGTCCACCAAGTTCCTCTCGAGCATCCAAGGCTTCCTCAAGTCTCGCAACGGCGATGCGCTCCGTGATTGGCTCAGGGTGGAACCGCCCGTACCTCAAGAATACCACAACCTATCGACCGAGCTGAAGAGCGCCTACCGAAGCACCAGTGCCATCGAAAAGCTCGTCCAGTCGTGTCTGCCCGAGGAGGATGATCTACCAGAAGACCAAGGGACATCATGGCCCGGCTTCATCGTCTTTATGAAGGATTATCTCGAGTATTGGAGAGACGTCGACTTCGACGACCTTCTTGGTGCCCACCAATTGCTCATGGCCCTGACGAAGTAGGCCACCCATCATGATCCTGTACCTCACCGCCACTCAGCTGACACACCCCCAAGTTCGTGTACCACGGCCCTCAACAACCCGACTTTCGGCACGATAATGTTACAGACGAGCATATCATTATGTGCTTCTCTGTCGAAGCTCTCGATGACACTTAACAAACGCCCCGATCTCACTAAGAAACTGAAGACAATCAGTACCAACGACGAGGAGCAGAGTTCGATCGTTGGGACAACGGCCGAGGTGATACAAAAGATCTTCACGGCGTGTTTGACGGATCGATCAAGTCAGCGTTACGCGAAACCAGAAGGCAAGAAGATTGGTGTATACGTCTTTGCCAACCTGACTCTGAAGCTGTTGTTTGCTGTCTGTGTGCTGTTCGCTCATGTTAGATGAAGCCTCGCTGACTAGTCCCAGTGCCGCAAGACTCATCTAGCCAAGCAACTGTTCACCAATATCAGCGCCAAATCCCCTCCGCTGTCGTATTACCCAGCGGCCCAGCGTGTCACATATCTTTACTACCTTGGACGCTTCCATTTCATCAACAATCACTTCACAAGGGCTTCACAGTGTTTACAAGAGGCTTATATACAGACACCGCCGAGCTTTCAGAAGCATCGCCAGCTCATACTCACTTATTTGATACCTTGCAACATACTTCTTGGACGCCTGCCCACGCAAGCCCTCTTGCAGCGACAAGAGGCCCAGACTCTGACGCCCGCCTTCATGCAATTCGCTCAATCGATCCGCGCTGGCGACTTCCTCCTTTTCCACCAAGCTCTCGAGATGCATGAGGAATGGTTATTTCGGAAAGGTCTACTGCTGACCTTTACTTACCGCCTGCGTCCATTGCTCTGGCGGTCTCTTTCACGACGAACCTTCATCATTACGTATGTCGCTCCAACGGAAGCCGATTCTCGCAAGGCCGCGACGCTGGAACTGTCACATCTGCTCGTGACCTCGTCCTACGTACAGAAGCGGCTTGAGGGGTACTTGCCTGCTAGGCCAGTCCCGAAAGGAAGACAGCCACATATCAATAGCATGTTCCTGAAAGCTGTCTCTAATAGCGTCGGGCCTAGGACTGGAAGTTCAACTCTGGCCCCACCACCTGGTGGCCCTAAATTGCTTCGACCTAACGAGGGTCTGATTTGGGGTAACATGCCGATCACAGCAGAACACGTCGAAGATATGGTTGCCTCCCTGTGTGCGCAAGGACTCCTTCATGGATACATGGCACACTCACAGGGGCGCTTCGCAATTATGGGCGCGAAACAGGCAGGAAGCGCGGTAACCGCGGGATGGCCGAACGTCACTGAGGTGCTCGTCCAGGCAGAAGATGTCATACCTGGGTGGGTTCGAGATTTATAGACGGACGACATCTTGATTCGACACTACAACAGATGTGAAGCAAGGGGTGTATATACTGGAATAGCGTAATGGAATGCTTGTTCTGGAAAGGCGCAACGGATATACGGCCATGATACCCCTGTATTTACTTCTTTATTGGCCCAGTTGAATATACTCTGGCACAATCTACAACCGCCCTTTATATGTGCAAAGCCAGCTCATTTAAAGATGCTTATTTACCTATCTTCGTGGGAGAGTGAAACTGGTCGATCGGGTTAGAGGTGGTAGACGTACGCTATGCCTGGCTCTAAGCTATCAGATGGAGGGCGCCGGCGCTGGCGGTACTCGTGTGGCCTTTTGGAAGAAGCTGGGCGCGGCCGTGGGGATGAGGGTGGTCTGGTGCCGGGGGGGAAGGGGGGGTGGGTTATGCGGACGCGGGCCGGTTTGATGGGGGCGTTTCCAGGGCTCTAGAGAGAAGGCAGTTGGTTTAACTATGTGCTTGTTCATTGAAGGCAATGGTATCTCCTAGTCGTTGGACTTTGCAGCGTGATGTTTATTGATGGGTTTAGGGTTTTGCTCCTCGACTGGTTGCTAGGTACACTCCCCGGCCAGAAGTCTCCGAGCCCACTTTTTAAGCAGCCCTCAACGCCTACACCCTCCAACTTTCAGCAATCACAACGCACCCATTTCTCACTGTAATAATATGGAAAAAAATTGTATTGTGTAGGTCATTTAATAGTGTATGTACTAGGCACCTACTCTTTTTACTGCGGCGATTCGGTTGCTGAGCAATTCGATGAGAACGCGTACGTCCTCAGGATCGATCTCTGACCACGCCCTTTCAATTAACTCTCTGGCATATGCCTTATGAGTAATAATAGCCTTTAAATTAGCGAAACCAGGCTCAATTCTTTGTATCTGCTTCTTCAGAAGTGCCTAAACGTGCTCGATCGGGTTCAAATCAGGGCTGTGAATAGGCCAGTCGATCGTCCAGATGCCGTGCTCCTCTAGCCACTTTGGGGTGCCTCCAAATCGATGGATGTGAGCATTATATTGTATAAAAGGATCCCCAGCCTTGTAGAAGAGAAGGAGCCCTTCCTCGAGGACATCTTAGTATGAAGCTGAAGATACTCCTCCGCGAGGAGCATCCTCATCGGGCTCGTAAAAAATGATTTTGCCTAGGCCACCTTCTCTGCTGCATAACCAAATCAAAGCCCAATACATAATGGAGATACAGGGTCTCCCATAGCTCTAAGGGTTCATAAGATCCTGCTTGTAACGTTCAGAAGAGAGGCGGATCACCCAATCGCCCGGATTATCAGGTGAATTCTGGACCATGACTTCGTCTGAGAAGAGCATTTGTATCAGCTCCTCCAGAGCTTCCAGAGAGTCGTATTTATTGCAAAAAGCGAGCCTCTTTCGTGCGTCATCTTCCATAAGCTCGATCTGCTTCACCACCTTCTATTTGCGAAGCCTATGAGCACAAAGAATGCGCTTAATAGTGGTATAGGAATAAAGGACCCTGCTCTCCTTTTTGAGCTTTTTGTAGGTAGCCTTAGGGTACTTTTGTGCCATTTTAATTAGCTGAGCTTCTTTATACTTATTTAGAGTCTTTGTGGCTCCCTCTCAAGGTTGAGAGACCATGGTGTTATGCTCTCTAGCAGTGTTGATAATGTCGGTCACAATTTGAGGTCGATCTAGATGGAACGTGCTCGCAACATCGTCGCGCCTTACGCCTGCCGCCCTGGCAGCGATAATAGCTGTACGAGCTTCAGAAGTAAATTCCTGGTTTGGCCCGCCAATAGACTAATAGCTGCTTGCTGCCGGCCATGTCCCAGCTCCTCAGTACGCTCGCCGTGACAATTATTACGTATATAATATTTTGAACAACTTTTAAATAAAAGGAGTTTTAATCTTTACGAGTAATAAGTTAGTCGTAGAAACATGTGTTGAGAAGGGAAAGTTGGTTTTCTTACTAGCTAAGCTGTCGTGGCGATGGCCGTTTACATATAAGATTCTGGTACAAAGACCCGCAGGCCGGACAACGGAGCTTGCATGCGACCACACAACCTTTCCTTATTTTCATATGCTTTCAGCCAATATAAGAATCACCCGCCATCTGTCGCAAGGTTTCTTACGTACCTTATACCATATAATAAGCGGCTAGGTTTAAGCTAGTAGAATAATAACGGTAAAATAGAAAGAACTTTTTTTTAAAGCGTGATATGCTTCCCTGGATATTTGTTTAGAGCCTAACAACCTTGTATATTACTTTTTCCGGCTCTCAGCTCTATTTGCCCTCGGTAGAAGAGGTTAGTCATCATTTAGGAATTAAGCATTGCAACCGACCGTGCAAGCTGCACAGTCGTTGGCCTTCATCATCGGTCCAACCGCTATGAAAGTAGCGGCCTTCACTCGAATTGCAAGATGGTGGCGTGGCCCGCTAGTAGCCACCATCAGGCGGAGCTCGTCCGTCCATAAGGGCCAAGGCTATTGCAGCGTGAACCACGTCTAGGAGGTCATCAAGCTCTGTGGCCTGCGCTTGGCCGCTTCCGAGGCCAGTCTGGTCAGATTCATCAGCCGGACAATCTCGCCCGCTATCATGGCAGCGATACGGACAGCCATTTGCGTATCGATCATCGCGGTACCAACTGTCAAGACAATGCCCATGGAATACGTGCGTGCAGTTGGTAATCGAGCAGCCGTAGTAGCGGGGGCTCTGGCTGTCGCGATCGATGAGGATGTCGTGACAAATGTCACACATTCTAGCTGCTTGTACTTCCAGCCATGCGATGCCCTCTAGGTCCGGGAACTGAGAATAATCGGACACGGAGCCTCGGATTAATCGAGGTCCATCTTGAAACGGCTACTCTGTCCAAGGTGGTGGATGGGTGCAGCGCTTCGTCCCGTCAGTGGTGATGAGAAGACGACGATATAGACTTGGCTTACCGATGTGGAACTCGCTCAGTGGCTCGGTCAATCTCTGTTCGGCGAAGGTGCGGAGGCATTCAATCGAAGTGAGGATTCGTATTGAAAGCTGTTAATGGTTAGTGACAGGGCGACTTCGGTCGTCAAGGTAGACCTACTCGCCAGTTGCAGATGTGATTCATATTGGCCCGATCGATAGTCGAAATGATGAAGGTTGGCAACGATCTTGCGGGGTCCCCCAGAGACGTTATAACGGTAGGAAGGAGCTGGCAGTTGTGATCTTCTGCCCCAGAGGCAATCGTCGTAGTAGGCAGAGGGGAGAGGATGAGGACTTGCCAGATTGTCAAGAATTATGACTTGGGGGACAATGAGAAGACTTGGATAAGGAGCAAACTTGAGTACCGATCGAATTTACCTTAGGCACCAACTATCGAACCACGGCGTTTTGCAAGAACCATGCCTACCTGGGTACTCTGCACCGAGTGATGTCGTACCTCTCCGCACGACATCAAGTGGTCCGTCAAGAAGCTTACATGTATGCTGACTCTGAGAGGGGGGCGAACCCCGTGAAAGAACTGATGGTGGGAATGCGATGGCATACTACTAATACAGAAGTCGAATAGTCCGGCCATTTGGCCCCGGCATATCCGTAAATGTATCAGGCGTAGCTATAATCACCTCGCCATAAGTCTCCGTCCGCGCACCTCGAAAGTCATTCTTCTAATGGAAAGTAGATATAAGAATAAGCACCCTGCAATAAGCAGTAATATCTCAACAAGTCACGGTTACTGCTTAGTCTATAGGTTAATGACCTCAAATACGCGGTATACGAAGACTTCTGAGGCTTCAATGTACCTTGGTGCTGCCAGGTCCAAGACTGGATCGTGGTCAGTTCGGTGCCATCGATTGCCTGGCTCGATAGGACTTTGTCGAATAGATTGCTCTCTTCCTAAGTCATATCGACAAAGATAAACTCGTCGCCGTGTTCAGATTTGTTGGATTCTGGGCTATGTTAGCCCATCCATAGTCATCCTTCAGGATCACCATCCCCATTTGTGACTCTGTCACATACGTGGCCAATATAAGGCCATGTATTCTTTCCTTTAGTATCTTGGATATATATAGGGCCACTCTGGCCGCTCCAGAGTAGCTGGAATTCCTCTCCTTAATAGAACACTTTGAAATCTCACAAGATTCCATCTTGCTGAACGTGGTGGATATCTTGCGGACGTAGAAAAGCATGCCGGTTACAACTTGAATAACCTGGTGAAGAACGTGTAACGCTCTCCTAAAAGTCTAGTTTTAATAGATGGTGATCTATTGATGCATAGGGAGAGAAAACCTCCTGCCAGTGGCTGATTTTAGGCAGTAGTAATGTTGAATGTCGTGATATAGTCTCGAACATGGGCTCGAGGTGTAATAACATCTTCAAGGCCAGAGTTATTGATCACGTATATATCGTGCGAGGTTTCCAAGATGTCTGTTCATGTCGACCTGAGGTCTAAACGGAGACTAGGCTGAAAGGTGTTCTGTACGTAGAATCTAGGTGCTTAATCTGTTTAACAAGAAACATCGACGAAACTCATGTGACGTTTGCTTAAAAGCAAACGGCGATAACTCCGCCACGATCTAGGCGCAGGCAATACTTCGTCTTTCCTGGCCTGCTTAACTTTGATAAGCCCCTTATATACGACTACTTCTTCTTTTCTTATAATCAGCCGAATCAAACGTTCCTTTTAGGTGTGAATAAGCTAGGACGGCTAGTCTAGGACCGAACCATAGTCTATATATCCTCACGCTCCCTACTACTATAACCCGTAATACGATTATAAACTAAAAAAACGCTTCGTACAACTAATACGGGCGGCCGTTTAAATGTTCTCGATGCTTAAAAAAAGACTGTTACTTATCACGTATATACCTCTTTATCATGGAATTTTAATACTTTATTTAGCTTGCAAGTCTTGCTTTTAGCTCCTTAGCAAAGCAGATGCATTCGACGAACATATGGTTATTAGTGTCGACGAATATTTACGCAACCCCAAGTGGGTCGACTTGGACTTGATGCCTCAGGTTGAAAATACTCTTCATTGGTGCCTTGCAGCAGTCAAGGCACCGATACCATGACGATGTAAACCCTCCACCTTCGACTTTTGCAGCTCGCCTTCCACTTTCTTCATCCTCCACTCTTTTCGCCTTTTGCTCTCTTCACCTCCACTCCCTTCGCCTTCAACTCTCTCCTCGACTCTCTTCGCCTTCGATCCTATTCGCCCTGCAACTTGCGACTTGCCCACTGTTTTTCCTGCTTCAGTTTTACCAGCCATTGCCGCCTTGCTTCGATTAAACCTTCCTTTGATCTCAACTGCATCAACGCCCCAGCAACGCGCGGCGCACGCCACCGCGCGTCTTGTAACCGACCGCTTCACGACATGATGGATTGCAAGGTACGCGTGCCAACCACGAGTAATCGAGGCTGGCTAACACTTTCCCAGGCGCGAGTAGGGGGTCTGGCTTGCAGACGACAAGCAGTCAGCGAGAGATTATGCGAGGAACACTATCACCAAGAACGAGCAACCTATAAATTCCTCAAAAGGAACGAGAGGATGTTCAAAGAGGTCGAATTCGCAGCATTTGGGTGGCGAAACGATTGGGCGCTTCATTTCCACGTTACGGTGGTGTTAGCAACCCGCATCGTGCATACTGCTTGGTACTATGCCAATGAATTTTGTCAAGGACATGCAGGCCGGGAGCAGGTGTTAAGATCGAGGCTATATGAGCTTAGAAAATGCCATCTTCAAGATGGGATGGTCATACACCGGTGCACATGTTGCCAAAGAGATTGATTCCTCAATTAAGGATGCCATTGCAACACTCACACTGGAAGACCCTGGTAATGCGCTCCATATCCTACATCCCCGACCTTAGGAGGCTGACATACGTCCTAGTCACCGAGCTCGACAGGAGACTCTACTACCTGCCGGCAATAAGGATTGTCCCGAAAGATCACCCGAACGCCGTCCCGGTTCCCGCCGCACAACCTTTTCCAACAGTGTGGTGACAGCTCGGCGAATCTTAGATGGACTATTGGCGTTTGTAAGTTCTGCATCGGGGAAAGGGAAGTCTGACAGCGGCTAACAACACGAAAGGTGCTGAGAAAAGAGAATCATGATCTATATACCATACACAGTCTCGAGATCAACTGATCAAGTTCATTATGCGGTATGCGGTGGGGATTAAGTCATAAAAACGATATTCGACCTTGCGACTTCACTCGGGAGCATCGTATCGGTCTACGACACCCACAAGGAGGAGTAGAAGAAGACCAAGACCACGATAACGATGCAGAGGAGCTACTGCCTGCCCCTGCGCCTCTCGTCCTCCGTGGCGCTCGCGCGTCCTCTCGCCTGACCTCAGCTCGATTAGCTGAGTCCGTTCCTGCTTCCCGCGGTAGATCTTTTGGTCGCCTTTCCGCCGCTCGCGGTAACTCCGCCTTAAGACGTTCGCCTGCTCGCAGTCCTTTTGCCGCTAGACTTTCTCTTCACGGCAATCTCGGTTGTAAGGCTCGTTTCCTAACTGCCGGCTCTGCCTCCGCTGGTTCTCCTGCTCGCATTCCTACGTCTTTAGGCTCTGCTAGTACCGGTTCGGCCGATCCTGGTTCTATCTCTCGCGGCCGTGGTGGTCGTACGTATGGCCGCGCTCGCACCGAACACCATAAAGCAGATGGCTCAAGTGCATGGGAGAGCCACGAACCATTATGACATAAGGAGCCGACGTATATCAACGAGCTGAAGAACTTTGAAGCGACGTGCAGGCAGGCGAACGCGCCCGACTCGGCACAGCAAATACTACGGAATCTTTGACCAACGCTCTATCGCATATTCTCTTCAATCGGCACTCTACAGCTTCCTGCACGTCGCACAGCATCTTTTCCAATCTGTTGTTTTCTTACGAGGTTTAAACTCTGATCTGCTTGCTTCGACGCTAGAAGCTTTTCTAGCAATAGACAAGTAATAAACCCGATATGAAACATACTATTTTCAAGCCACTTACGCGAGAAATTCTATTATCATTTAGTAGCGATTTATTTGGCACCTTGAAAGATCGCATTTAATTTCTAGATTTATACTGATCTTTTTTTACGCCTTTTATTGTGCGACAGTTTTGAATTATCCGAGGTTGAGACATAGGTTTATTGGTGTTCTTCTTTCCTCGCTCTCGACGATGGCGCACCCTCCGAGGATGTTGCCGCAGACTTTCTTTACCCCTCACAGAGCAAGAAGGCTTTACCAGCAGAGAACGGGCAATGGACATGGAGTCACTGTGGAAGCGTTGAGTGCGCCTGTGAAGTGGGGAACAGCAAATAGGGATGTCTTACGGCAAGAAGGCAGTCTTATGAAACTGGACAAGACAAATCATCGCCGTGAGTTTGCAGGCCACATGATCCGACTCTTCACTTTCTTTTTTCCGCTTTTCATTACTCCACTCACGAGTCAGTAAGTCGACTCTCATCGCCTTGGAGGGCACAATAACAACGGTGGCGGCGAAGCCTTCGGAAGCTCTGACTCCAACGTCCCAGGCTGCCAGGAGGATGAACCGGCTCATACTCTTCTGTCGCAAATCATCTCCACATTCGACGCACCGTCCTTCGGACGTGAGCTAAAACTCCAGTTTTGGCGGGAACGAAGTCCGACAATCGGGCATCCTTCCGACGAGTAACGTTACCACCGGCACTGCTGACTCCGACCCGCAACGGCCATCCGATGATCTACCTCGAAGAGTCATACTCGGTGCAAGTGTAACCGCAACCCATCAACCTTTACATACCTGCCGGTCCCACAACCTGGAAGCCATTCAATCCGTCCTCAATATCCCTCCTGACTTCCCGCAAGCATGGCCGTCGACGCAGGATCGCAGGCCGGCGAGGCCAACGCACGCCAAATAGTCTCTGAGATGTTTGGATTCATTGAATCCCAAGGAAAAGGCGACTATCTTGGAGAACGAGTCTCTCAACTCCAGCACTCCCTGCAAGCAGCCACATTCGCCCAGAAAGCAGGCGCTGACGACGAAATGGTGCTTGGTGCTTTGCTGCATGATGTTGGCAGGTTCATCCCGGCTGAGAAGAAGGCCACTTTGGGCGCTCCGGACGGCACCAATGTCGGCAAAGCGAGCCATGAGGTCGTGGGTGAACATTATTTGAGTAAGCAAGGATTTAGCTACAAGATTTGCCAGCTCGTCGGAGCACACGTTTTCGCAAAACGATATCTGTGTGCCATAGATGCGTCGTACCAAGACGGGCTCAGTAGTGCCAGCAAGTCGAGTTTCAAGCACCAAGTATGTGCTGTCCCTGTTTCGATACCGCTCAAAGCTGACGACTGGTCAGGGAGGAGCCTTCAGCAAGGAGCAAGTCATGGCCGCTCAGCAAGATCATCTCCTGGAGGAGAAGGTAGCAGTTCGGAGATGGGACGATCAGGCCAAGGATCCGTTGATGCAGACGCCGCCATTGTCAAGCTTCGAGGAGATGGCGGTTCAATCTCTGCTCAAATCGAAGTCATATTGACCTTCCATTCGGCTGACAGACGCAACAGCCGTGTCACAGTCCGACTGCTGGTGACTCCAGCAATGTCTTCATTGTTGTACGTGAAGAAGAAAGGAAACTATGAAGCTAGCTAGAAGACATGATCTGGTATATGTATGGGCTGACCCCTGACATTGTGGGGCTGTCTTTCACTGCCGTGACACCCCTACGTACCGTGGTGTGATCATCGAGCCACCTTGTTAAACCGCACCCAGAGATCTGGCTTTTCCAACATCCCATAGAGCTCAAAGTCTCTATCGAAATCTACATGCTGGCCCGGAAGCATCTTCACATCCAAAGCCCATAGCACCATGGCAACAATCAGCTTGATTTCCTGCAACGACAGAATCATTCCTGGACAAGCTCTGATCCCTTGGCCCCATGGGTGGAAGTCTTCTCTGGCGTCTTTGGCATAGACAGGGTCCCAGAATGGATGACCCTGACGTAACCAGCGCTGTGGTCGGTAGCTGTAAGGCTCGTGGAAGTACCGCGAGTTACGAGTGAATGCGTAGTTGGCGTATTGGACCTCGACCTTTACACCAACTTGTCAGTGTCGAACTTGATGGATCTATGTAGGTAGTTGACTTACTCCTTTGGCGATGTAGAGCCCATCCACAGTGGCACCTGGGCTCACACGCGGCTGTCCCGTAGCCCCAACCACGGCCACGCGCAGCTGCTCCATGACCGTGGCGTGCAAAAAGTCCAGACGGGTCACAGTATCAACCGCGATATCTTCGTAGCTTATGAACACATCTCTGATCTCCTTGACAAGCCGCCCGTGGTTCCCGCGGTCCTGCAGGGAAAACGCAATGATACCGAAGAACGAGCTTGAGATCGGCTCATAGCCCGCGGGCAGCAGATGGAGACAAATAGCCTCTAACGACTGCAGGTATCTTTTTGCAGGAAGCGGCGACTCGGGATCAAGCAGGTGGCCAAAATGATCCGGGTGTTGCGTTTGACCAAGGGCGTCAATGCGTTTATAGAACGCCTTCTTGTTGGCGCCAAGCGCTGCGACATAGTTCACAATGGCTGAGGGTGGCACCGAGAAGTACTGTAGCCAACCGAGGAGAGGGAACTTCTTGGCGGTTGTGTGCATGGTGACGAAGAAGTTGGCCGCCCATATGGATTCCAGGTAGGGCGAAGGTCTCTCTGCACAGTGCATTGTTAGTCTAAAACTCTTCGTTCCGGGAAGCATTCAGTCGCAGTCAGTCGCAGTGGGCTAGTCTTACTTTCCTCCAGCTGCCTCATTTCGCGGCTGTAGCCTAGGTCGGCTGCTATGTCCATAGCCAGCCAGTCCGCCCACTGCAGGGTGAAGTATGATAGTCAGCAAACAGGTAGAATGGGCGTGATTCGAGTCTTACCTTCCTGAGCTCGATCCCTTCCTTTCCATTGCCAAGTTCCATCATGTTCTGGACGAAGATATCAATGTACTTATGCATGACGTCTTCCTTTTCTCTGAGTGATTTGGCGCTGAAAGACGGCAAAAGCCATTTGGCTTTCTGATGATGTTTGACTGGATCAGTTTCCCAGGTGATACCCTGATCCGGCCACCCAAGGCTGATGAAGTCGGCTTTAAGGAAATACTCCAAGCCTTTGACTTGAGAAGCAAAGATGTCTGGTTGTCAATTTAGCTCTTGTCCCACATGATGGGCGTGCGGCGTTGATTACCTGATGCGGCCTTGGGAGTGATAAATACAAGTTCGTTCGGAGAAATGCGGACGACGTCGCCTGAAAACACATTAGCGACCAAGGGCTCGATATGATGGAGTCCTGTCACTTTACCGTACTTCTCATGAGCCTTTGCGATCACGGATGGATACTTTCCGGTTATCCTGGAGAAGTCAGACATGCAATATTGTTCAAAACACGAGCAGGGTATACTCGCCACTGATACGCGAACCAGATATTGGAGATAGCTGCGAGTCTTGGTCCGGGATACTTGGCTGCTGGGTGGAAGTACAGGTTGTAGAAACAACGGAATGAAGCATAGAATGACACCTGAATGGATTGTTGATTAGTGCAATGTTGACTCGTCTGTGTCCGGATGACCTCACTTACAGTCGCTACGATAGCCACGGCCCAATGAGCGAACACCACCTGGGCCAGCGGTTCAACATGTTGAACGAGCCCCATGATTCGCAGTCGCAGTTTTCCAGGGCGAGCCAGCTTCTCCAAGGGCGATATGGAATGATTCGGAGCTGTGCAAGAAGGTCTTGATGATAATCAAAGTGAAGAGCTTCCGAGAGCAATTGCCATAGAAAATAGGTCTTGGGAGTAGAGATCTAAAACGCGGATTGTTTCCGGGTCATTCCACTCGGGTGACGGGTGTTGTTGGTTGTTGCGTGTGTGGCCCAGGGGCCGGGATGTCATGCGGGAGCGAACCAACACATAGATTCATCCCTACGTCGCGCTGATCGGGCAGTCTTCCCGATGATCCCCCGATTCGGGGTCCAATGATACGTGGTCCAGTATGCAGCAGTGCGGCTCTCAATCTAACGTATGGGCATGTCGCGGGCGTCAATCCGCAGGCAAAACTTGAGCCACAGGTGTAATCTTTCATGATCTTCCAAGTACCTCGTCCCCAGGGACTCCCTTTCTATCTACAGGTACTACTGACGATCACATCACAAACCTGTCTACTATCTCACAATTCATATCAGGTGTACTCTGGAAAGTCAACTGGTCCATTAGCAGGGCACAATCAGACGTGAGGGACCTTTGGCGATCAGAGCCAGCCCCTTTCCAATTTCCATAAGTATTTCTCTAAAATGATGAGCCCCTAATTTTCTCCCTGCCGCTTTCCTAACTACTAAGCACCTACAGAAATGAGACCAAGGTAGCAGACATCCAACAACAAGCCCCCAGATCCCACCCCAAGACCCTGCCTACATCGGCATCATGCCATTAGGCACGACTGTGAGGTTCGCCATCAGGAAGCTGTGTGCCCCAATATACACCTGCACGTTTGAGGCGCCATACTGCAACATTGTCCAGTCGGTCTCGGGGAACTGGTACTCCGCCGTGATGTTGGTGCCGGGCCCGGAGACGGCGGTGACGTACAGTGTGTTCATGCGACCGGACTCGTCGCTCATCTGGCCCGTGTAGCTCATGCTGACAGTGTCCCAGTCGCAGACGGTCATTTCCGTCGCCGGCACGTACATGTCTGTCACCGTGGTGTCGATGTATGAGCAGCCCACCATTGGGTAGCCCGAGCCTGTCATGACGACCATCTCCATGTAGCAGATGGTGCTGTAGGCTATACAGCTTGCCTGGCGTCCGGTCTGTTAGCTGTGGAGGCAAGGGAAAGGGGAAGGGGCCGAGCTGGGAGACAGGGCAGTACCTTGAAGTCGGTTACGTTCCATGGCTCCATTGTGTCCGTGGCCATGGTAGCTCCATGAGCACTCGCGATGAATGCGGCCAGGATAGTTTTGGCGAGCATGTTTGTGAAGGTTGGTTGGCTTGGGTAGAACTAGTTGACCTGATCAGGATATTTTGTGGAATTGAGCAGACTGCCAGTGTTGATCACCATCCATGATCGTAGGAGCAGACACCTGTCGTTATATATTAGCCCACGCAGCAATGAGCATCACTTTGGGGGTTCTTGTGATCGAAACCTTCTGCCGGAAGACTGCGTACCTAGGTATGCAAAGGTGAGTATCGCCTCCTCGCGTCTCATCACGAGTTGGAATTGCCGGTCTCAGTTCATGGCGCAACGTGGCACATCGTGGCACAAAAAAAGCTCGAGTGCTATGCCTTTCATCATCGTAGCATTCATCCACAAGAACGTCTCAGCCGTTCCTCTGTTGGTTCCGACGACAGTCTCAAGGTTCTGTCACGACTTGCGCAGGTACCTAGTCAGTTCGGTTCAGCAGCATGCAAACACCACTGATACTAAAAAATACCACTGTAAATACACAGTAGATAGAATTCTCTCAGACGCTTAGCAACCTGCGACCCCCTCAACGCTGATATGATTTTTCTCTTTGGCTACACAACTCCCCGTACAGCAGTTACACCTCTGAGGAGGGTTCTGATTCTACATGCCAAAATTTGATCTCGGATCTCTCTCATCCCGTCCTGCGGTGATGTATGGTCGAGGTAATCGTATGACGCGAGATGGTCTTTTGTCTTTGAACATAGAGTGTACAGACGTGTTCTTGATCATCATACCACGAGAAAGATCGATCTCGGATCAGAGAACCCCGTTCTGTTCGGCGACTTGAGAGACATGAAGTGCAACGGCCCGAGGATCTCTAGTGTGGATCGTATTCGTCCTCTCTTTGAATGTACAGGCAGTACGCAGGGACGAGTAGTCGTGGAATGAGCACTCTCGGAAGTGGGAGTGGCTCCGGAGATCCTCTGAATCCCGCATAACCTTTGTTACGTTCATACTCTTTGAACGATACTCCTATGCGGAACTGTGGCTCCTCAACCCATTTCCCAGCCACAATGACGGACGGGTCACGGACCAGGATACAAGGTACCTTGGAGCCCAACGGGTACCCGTTTGTACCTGTTTTGTACCCAACTGGGATGATAGCTACTTCTGGGATGGGGACACCACCCATCCCTTCTTTCAATCAAGCAACTTCCAGAATACAGACCAATAGCCACCTATCGTGACCCTGGTCCTTATTCTGGATACCGCTACCACAAGGCACAGAACTGCCACGAGGCGATTTAATCGATGCAGGCAGGCTGATGGCGTGGCGGCCACTCACTCCCACACCCCGCCAAAGACTGCCTTAGTGCATAATTTTATGGAATCCACCTACTGAAAAAGCATCGCGGTTCTCGCTTCTTCCCAAGATATTAAGTCGGTAGTTCACATCTTATGGTCACCTTAAAAGGTTCTTTCATGGGATTAGAAATAGTCGCCAATTCTATCTTTCATTCCTCGGTCGGGACTCTACCTATTGTGCCCGTGGCTGCGTTTTCCAACCCCGACCTAAGCTCTGCGATGATCGTGACTAGGAGCAGCAAACCTCACTTACTCATATGGGCTTGAACATATATTCAAATACATAGACTCTCATCATATCCCCCATTTTGAATTTATATGTCCACTAGACACTCAATTCGCAGAGTCGACCCATACGCACAGGTCAACGGTCTTCTTCCACTTACGGAACATGCTCCATAAACTGTACCTTAACACGACAAGTTGGAATGCAGACGTGCTAGGATTTGTGTTTGGGCTTCCAATAGTTATAGCATTATTGATATATTTTACCAATCACTTTGGCAAGCGCCAGGCACATTTGGTATTGGTTGTGCTCCAATTAATGTCCGATGGTCTGTTGACAATATATTCACCCAAAACTATGACGAACTCGACGGAAACCTGATTCCGGCATTCGCATTATTTTCCGCCTTTCACTTTTACTATCTGATCGACACCGATGCTAGCAATCGCAACGTCCGACTTCAAGCCAACGTCAATGGGGCCTTATAACCCCAACAAGGAGCCGGATTCTGACTCATCAAGGTGGGCAGAACATGAAGCCCTGCGGATCAAAACGCTCGTAGAGATCAGCACTTTGGCGAAAGTCGCTGAAGGGTTTCCCAGTGTAGATGAGCTCACCAAAGTCATAAGAGAGCTCCTCAAAGACCAAACAAGTGCGCTTCTCGACCGTGTTTGCCGTACAAACACTACTAGACGCACACGGCGTGCTCCGAGCCAAATACTCTCAGCCATGCGGCGAATTAATGAGCTGGATCGAGCACTGCTAGGGCTTTTTAACGTCAATGCTCTAGTGGCTCGCCGTCACTAACACCGAAGCTTGTTCGTGGGGACAGGAAGAACATAAGATGTTGAACTAGGTGTTTTCACTTATCCAGGAATGGCGAAGTGATTCGATTGATGAAATCACAGCAGCGAAGCATGCGGGTGTCGCTACCAGGGAGAAGAACCTCTTGTTTCGCCAGCATTCCACCTTTTGCGGAACACTCCTCCACGTCGGGCGCGTTCTGCTGCAGCGACTGGGTGTGGTCGTCGAAAACACCTTCGGTAGCACGTTCTGCTTACTGTAGATCTGTCGCGCTGCAAAAGCCCGCCTTTTGCTCGATACATACCCGCCAACCTTGACACGTATACTTCAGGTTCAAGGAACGAAATCATTTTTCGTCGGGGAGATTGTGGATAACACCCCCCTAATGTTATATGCGTCATTTCATACTGGCTTGCGGGGGTTCAGCTACCAGTTTCTCTCGCAATCCTCAATCCACGTCCAGACAAGTCCCTTGTGCCCGGAAAGGGGTTACCGAGCGAGGCGACTTGTCACTCCTTCTCAGGGATCGCGTTTTCCAGGGTCTAGAGCTGGCTACATTGACGCCCGATATGGCCTAGAGGATCTTGGGAGTATGCGAGGCCACCGAGTCCACACAAGACGGCGGTGGCTCTCTTGGGCTGGATATCTTGCTGGAGAGTTTGGCCGCGCAGTTGCAATCGGAAGTCTGCAGGTCACCTTCGATTACATCGGTGCGCACCTCGAATCTGCAAGGCTTCTCAAATAGATCCAAGAGGGTTAGGCTTCGGCGTCGGTGACACGCCCGCCGCTTGGAATGCAACGCGCACCGTGGGTTACTTGTTTTCTGTTGGCTTTCGGGGCCTAGGTAAGGCGGCCAGTACTGCCAGAAAGCAGACCAATACCTAGAGGAATTTATATGCATGCATGGCACGTAATATCCCCTCTATGCTTCTGTTCTTGCGCGTAGATGGGGATATATATGTTTACTGTAGACGCATACACACACACACATATACATATTTATGTCCCAGGGTGAAATCTCACGTCTGGTTCGCAAGTAGGAAGGGCGCGGTATTAGAACTGTAGTATCGCACAAGATAATGCGATATCGGGAATACCAGCAGACTTTCAGGAGAGAATCACGCTGGGTCTTATTGCCATGCCATCCCTGTGATGCAACGTGAGTTCTCCTGCAGTACTCTAGGTACAGCCCTGCCCACCCTTGGTCCAACCCCTTGGTACCAGGCTGTTGGGTCACGATGGTAGCACTTCGCGTAAGTATACGAGCAAGCGCACTGCCACTGAGCCTTGCCACCAGAATCGAACTTATACCAGGTCAGTTCACTGTCTGAGGCTGTTGTGCGGTGGAGACCTTATCTTCTTTCTCCCTCGTCAGAAAAGCGAGCTCAACATACACCACCGACGCCATGAGCATCACGGCCCCGCCCGTCACAGCGGACTTCGTCGGCGTAGGGCCCGTCACGGTCGTCTTCACGCCCGCGCCTTCCTGTAGCACTTGGTACTTCTACGACACGATTGGCGTCCCGAATATTGTGTGGAACGACGAGTTCCATAATCCACGGATCACCGACTGTCGACCTCCCGGTAATCCTGGCAATACTTTTAAACCCGGCGTTTGCCCCAGTGGACAGGAGTTCAAGCAGGTTAACGCCATCGTGGACCAGGCGGCGAGTACGAGTGTCCAGACCACGTATCAGGGAATGTGCTGTAGCTCGTAGGCATCTCCGTCGCTCTGTTCCCGACAGATGGCATTTGTAGCTTTAGCTAAACTTCGTCTACCCAGAAATCACGACTTGAGCATCGATTCGTCGCTTTATGGGACTTTCCATGGAACGCCAATCTGCACCACCAAACTGACGGCGCCGATCGTAGCTACCAGCTACGAGGCTGACTATGATGCCGTCGGCAGTTTCACGCTAACTGAGCCGGTCACGGTCACAGCAGTCTCCGAGCCAGTGATGGTCTTCTGGTCTGCCGAGGACTTGACTGCATTCGAATCACCACTGGCGGAATCGTTGCGCGCGGCAATGAGCCTCCGGGCACCTCGCCGCCTGCGAATTCGTCTTCATCTACGACATCGATATCAATATTGCCGCCTACAAGTTCGTCTTCCTTTGCGGCAAGGCCGTTGCCATCTACAACTCCGCCATTTGATGACGAAGATCGCGAGCCTAGCTCGTCGCTTTCCAAGGGCGCCATAGCAGACTGGGCCCTCCACATCCTCGACCTGAACCACGCCGCCGGCAACGCAGCCGCGTCGTCCCTGCTCGCCGCATTCCACCCCGTCGATGTAACCGTCTACGCTAGTGGTGCCTTGTGGCTATTCGGAGAAGCCGATTTGATAGCTATGATGGGAGGTGAGTAGAACTTGTCACTCCAGTTGCATGAGGACATCTACTACCGTTTCCCCTCAAAACTTTATAATGAGCTAAGCCCGCTAGCCAGGCACAATGTTACATGGTGCCAGGTTTGTAACACTTGTGATGTATGTAGGGAAAAAACGATGCGAGATGGCTAGTATCTGGCTGGTGGATGGTCTATGAGGGTGGTAATTTACAGTCAATGTGGTCTCAAGCCTCCGATACGACTCTATCAAGGGGCAGCTGCATAATCTAGCAGTAGTAAAGGCCATTTGAAGTAAGTACGTCGTACAGTGGGTATATCGGAT